AGGAGCACCTTTGGCACAGCGACTCCTCGTAGGCAGCAGGGAAGCATAGAAGAAACGTTTACATGGTGCCGTTTATGGCAGTTAGGCTCTTCTAAGTGCCTGTATCTCAGCTCAGCCTTTGATTTAGCCAAGTAGAAGGCGACTCTTTACATGAAGCTAACATTACATTTTAATTTCTGAGCTTTCAAATCTGTATTTTAAAGTGTACTAAATGTGTTCTGCTTATGTTATAAATTGACTAGTGAATGATCTAAGAAGGAACTAGTCACCCTGGAACTGGAGAGCAGTGCCTCTCATAAGACTTGGCCAGCTCTTCAACCTTTCCCTTTCTGGCTCTGGACATTTTGGATTAGTTAATGATCTTCATGTTTGTGCATTACTGGTAGCAACACTGTCCACCTGGCTAGCCAACAGGTATAAGAAATGTAGGCATAAGAACTCTCCTTTAAAAAAAGAAGAAACAAAACCCAAAAAACATTCTATAGGGACGTTAGGTAAAGCAAACCATTACATGAATACCCTGGACTTCCATGAATACAGCCAGGGGCTGTTTGATCCTGGCCACAGACTGAGCTTGGATATAAGCCAGCTCGATGTAGGCCTGTTGTCTCCGGCATTCTAGATGGCTTGGCTGGCATGCGTGGCTGAAGAGCCAGAACCTACCCAACCAAGAAAGGCTCTTTCCAGAGAACCCAGTGCAAAGACGCTGCTGGCCTTTAAGTAACTTTTTTTTAATGGAGAACTGTTTCCTCACCGTGCTGTCTGGAATAACCTGTAATGCTGCTGCTCTTCCATTATCGGGCCATTCCAGGCTCCACCCAACGCTTAGGATAAAGGATCACTGACTGCATTTTACTTTTGCTTTGCTGCTTTTGAAACACTTCAGTCACTGTCTTCGTGCTGGTTTTGTATACTCGGGATTTCTTTGACAATGCACGTCAGTGTCCCTGAAGCAGGATTATCAGGCTACAGTGTTTGCCCCTTTATGTTGCTTTTATATAATCCTAGCTAGCCGCCTGTTGGTTTCAAAGCTAAGAGAACTGATAAGGGTGAAAATTGTTAGAACAGCTTCTGTCTGCTCATCTGCTTTTTTGTAGATACGGAATCAAAGGTGCTGCATATATGAAAAACAAAGAAGGCTTAGTCATCTCTTGCCAAGGTGATAGGAGCTGTGAGTGGAAGCCTGGATCACTTCATCGCTTTCAAAATAAAATTACTTCCACTACAACTACTGGAGAATCAGTTACATTAAGCCTTTTCGATCATATTACCGTGAGTATTTAATCTGAAGGAAGTAAAAGGAAGTAACACCATGAGAAATAAAATAATTTTTGTATTGCTTTTAAGGTGAAAATACTTGTGCAGACTTCCCGCTGCCATGCTGACACGATCAAGCTTGAAATAATCAGGAACGCACCATATCAGATTTCAGACACAGAGGTGTCCCAGAAGAATTTTCATGTGGTGAAATCTGACTTAGTAAAAGAAGTCAGTCAGTCTGCAGAAGAAGCCCAGCGTGCCCAACAAAAAGCAAGAGTTGAAGTAATTGATGAAGACTATCAGGAGTACTGCCAGACCAAGGGAGCAAGCTTATACCAGCTGCTGGAGGAGATTAGGGATTTAGCGCTATTGGATGTTTCAGCCGACATTAGAACTTGAACTATAACCTAGCAACATCTGCTTGTTGATGTTCTGCTCCTATTCACTTTGTATGATTAAGTTTTTTTTTTAAAAAAAAAAACAAGTCTTTTTAATAAGAAACAATGTTTATTTTAAATAGGAATTATTTTTATCTGATGATGAACATGTATGAGTTTTTAAAAGATTTTATACATGATAAATCTCATCTTCTAAACTAAAGACAGTGTGGTGAATTCTTTCAACTGTCATTCAAAAAGTTACTTTCCCACGTTGTCCATAAATTGAGTTCTTAAAACCTAAGTATTTCCTACAGCTGTTGGCTATCTTCCACTATAGTTCAGCGAGTTTAACTCATAGCTACAAGGATACAAAAAGCAAACTCCTTCACACTAATCTAGAATACAGAATCTTTGTTTACTGAAATCCCTCAGCTGCACATCTGGCATAAAATAACACCTGTTGACATGAACTATTTCATCTGCTGTAAGTGCTGCTCTTGTCTTAATTCAGTTTCTGTTACGAACAACAGTCTACGCTGCGCTGCTGGAGAGGGCAGGCTCAGGGCTTTACCATTATGGTGATTCTTGTTCATTCAACAGAGGGAAAACCTATTGCACAAGTAGGAAAAACAAGACACTTAAGAAGAGGATGAAACAGAGCTTCCAGACAGCAAACAGAATCAGCCGAAGGAAGATAACTAATTTGGTCAAAGCCAAAGCACATTCCCCAAGGGGATGTACTTGTCTGTGAAGAGATGTTTGACTAGCACAAGGGATGTGGAAGTTCAGAAGGGCTGTAGCTGTAACAGCCTCATACAAGAATTTCAGGTTTGACTTCTGAAATTTAATAGCTTCCATTTTATAAGAACAAGATACAGGTACTTGATAAGCAAGTTAAAAAAATCCAGGACACCTGTTCAGACATAGCACTATCAGCTATTATATATACACCCTCTATTAAAAAAAAAAGACACAACAACAACTTTAATAGAAACTTGGCCTGTCAGTATCCCAGTTAATTCAGTTTGGCATCAACTGTAAACAAAATTCAAAGTAGGTCAAAAAACTCATTAACTTCTCCTAAAGAATGACAGGAGGGGGTGGGGGGAAAGATGTCTCAAATGCAGATGAAGAACTTGGTTTTGTTTTCCGGTGTACGGAGTTGCTCATCTGCAGTTCCAAGAGAAGAGTTCTGTCCAACTGTACAGAAGTCATGGTGAAGACTTCCATGAAGCTTCTGGAGTCAGACTGCAAAGAGCCTGCAACATTTCAATACAATGTTAGTACTTAAAACATCAGGGTCTTTCTGTTAAGAAAGTCATTCCAAGTATGGGGAACAGTTACTGCTTTTCGCTGGCACATTCCAATTCTATATCTTCAGCTTCTGTAACAGCAACCTTGGTTACAGTAGCTTGAGTGTCTTCGGTAAGATCAGCGGGATCCTGAGCAACTGGGGTATTAAACTCCTCTTCTGAGTGACTAGCAGAGAGCTCTGTCAAAGAAAAAAAAAAAAAAGAAAAAGGGTTACCTACTATGAGAAAACACTGTTCCTATGTGTTTAACTGCAGTTTCTATCACCAGAATCGCAGTCTGCAGGAAAGCCAACTCCAGACTGACCAGCGAGTTGAGTTTCGTTTCATTTCATCAAAGCTATCACAACTTGGCACGACAACTAGGGAGAGTAGTTCCATCTTAGCTTTGGAGGAGTCTAACAGGCATCAGGCATCTAACAGGAGCACAGTTTAAATTTGAGAGTTACATATTTGAGAGTTACATATTTTGCTACTTACAAGAAAAGCAATCCCTACCCTTTCCTTTAAACTGACTCAGTTGTATAAGCTTCTCAGGCTACTGACCTTAACATTAACACTTAATTTACAGGGTTGATTACCGTTGTGTTGCGATTGGCTGTTACACTGCATCTTTGCTTGCCTACGTTCCAAGGCCAGCTGCCTGTTCTTCTTGATTCGCTGTTGTTGCTCTTCTGTGAGAGTTGTACCAGACCGAGAATTGAGTTCTGCATTTCCAGAGCAGGAAAGTACATCTTCAGTGGCTGTATCCACACCATTGCTTTCCCCTCCACCATCTGGTTAAAAATGAGGGGGTGGGAGGGGGAAGAGGCAGAAATCAGCACTTTGAACCCAGAGAGCGCTACTGCTAAATATCTGTCAGGAGAACATTTTAAAAGTGTTTGTGTTCTACATTTTGCAGTTGTACTGACAGCTGAAGATCGTTCTGTAATTTAGTTTTAATGGGCAATTTTCTGCCTAGGTCCACATACCCGATACTGAAAGTATACAACAAATGCTTATCAGAGATCCCAAACACACAACAATAATAAATACCTGAACTTAGAGGCATAGCTCTGTGTACTAAGTTAGCAATCATGAGCTGTGCCTGAAGGTTAAAAAGAGACAGTAAATTCAGGCAATCCTTACTGAAAGGCCAGATAATTTTCTTCCCACCCCTACTAATATGACACTATCCTTTGCAAAGTGGCAGGACTAGTTATGGGAATCAGACAGAGGTTCGAGCACAGACATTGAATGGTCAGTTTTGAATTCAGTGTGCTACTGTTACGGAATATTTACTCATTTGCCAGCATTAATACATCCAAAATGGAGGCAGTCCAACTCTGTTAGACAAACTTCACCCACCAACAGAGAAGCAGAGCACTCTTTCAAGAGTGCCTAAGGCCAAGTATGCTTGTGCCTCTGCACCACTTTAAGCCTGTGAATAGAGAAGTTAGCTGACAACAAGGTTTTGGTTTTTAATACAATACTCCAGCTGCAGTTTTTATTTCAAAACTGTAAGATACCTACTCAAGTTTTTCAACTGAAGACTGAGCAGTTGCAGCAGTACACTCGCTAACACAGTTCAAGAACAGATTAGCACCGCATTTAAATACAAATGTATGGAACCATCGCACAGAAAAATCTGATAACTCTACAGACACTGTCGGCAGGAACCATTTGCTTTACTATTTGTGGCTGCTTACGGTTGCATTCCATTTCTAGCAAATGCAGCCAACAGTGAAGACAGCCACATGTCACTAACTGCCCAGAGGTCGTCCCCACCGGTGAGGCAAGGTTTCACCACTGGTTAACTCATCCACCAGAACACCTTTCCCAAGCACTGGCTCGTCTGGAGGCTGAGGTTCACGTGAAGACAAACTGGACAATGGGTAGGTAATTGTTTCAAGAGAGACAGTGAAAGTATGAACACCTGCAAAGGATCTTAGGAATGACTATGAAATGCCCTCATTTCTGCTAATAAAGTTTCTTTCACACTACCAGGTGAACTCTACTCCCTCTTTTTATTAAAAAAATAATTGTTTATTTCTAGTATATCTAAAAACATCATCTGATTGGAAGAGACTCTTGAATTGTTGAAGTGGCTGGATTTTGATATTGGAAGAAGAAATACTCAGTAGTAGCTATATGCCAAGACTGACAGATGTAATGGTGCCCACAAGCAT